ATTAAATATTTTATTTGGCAGTTATTCCAAAAATATATATAAAATGATCAACAAATATAGTCATTGCATGTCTACATTATTGCTTACTACATACACAGTTCAAAGTTGCGATAATACAACATCCTATAATCCGATAACAGAGTAATAGTGAATCCATTAGCGAACGGAGCGCGGCTTCGTTGCGAACTAGGGCTTAAACGGCTCAACAAGTTTCAATAAACAGTACTCAATGTATCGTATATAGAGAATTATATACGACACATTGATGCATACATATATATAATAAATATTTATTAATTATCTAAAATATACAGTGTAACACGTTTACTCAACATAATATTTCCCACCTTCACATATCTGCATCCGTTACTCCATAGAGGAAACAAATGAATATATTTACATTTAGACTGTCGCATTCACTTCAATAGAATAAAACTGATGTTAAATAAATTCTGAACGGTCAGTGCTAATATCCTAATTATAATATAACAGTCTCATTTCATAGCGATAATTTATTTGAAAAAAATAGCCCAGATAACTGACTTAGAATTTATTTGCTTTAGGTGACGTTCGACGTAGTTTACAATGTCTTTAGTAAAATTGACAACATTATCCGTTTAAATTATTTCGATATTTACATTTCGATGTAAATAGACAAGTTAATAACCAGTCATGATTTTAAAAATTCAATAGATCTAATGTTAGATGTGTGTAATGCGTACGTATGCATAAATACCAACCTCTCACTTTTACCCGTTTATTTTATTTTATTTTTTTGTGACAAGTTGCTAAGCGAGCAGTCGGTTCACTTGATTTTAAGTGAATACCGCCGCCCATGGACATCTGCTACACACGAGGGTTGCAGATGCGTTGACAACCTTTTGAAAATTGGGCTCCGGCCTTTTCACTCACCAGACGAAACGCGAAAGTATTATACTTCCACTTGACACCGATCTTCTGTGCGGTCGTGGCACTTACCCGAACGAGCCTGCCCATTCTTGCAACAGCCGAGGCTGCTGCGTGACCCTACCACAGTTAAAGCCACCGAATGATAATCGACCTTTACGCTTAGTAGTTTAATATTTAATATTTACTTAGTAGTCTAATATTTAGTTTAACATTGACAATAGCACAACAAATATATCGCGCGTGTTCAATCTAGGGGGCTCCTTTTTCCGAAGTTAATTTTTTCTCCTGGAACTGTGTAACAATTTGCCTGACTTATTATTAATAAATATAAAACTCTTTTACTTTAAAATTTAATGCAGACGCCTGCCTGTTTCTGAAACACTAATCATCGTAGAAATTAACTAAACACCTGTCAAATGTCAAATCAACTTATGGCAACTCAAATGACATTTGACAAGCCATTTGACAGCTGATTAGTAAATTTCTACCAAGACCAGTTTTTCAAAAAGAAGGCGAGAGTATATAGAGGACAGTTTTCTTATTTTTTACATGAGAAGGCGGTAAGCCGGCTGGAGGTTCACCTGATGTTAAGTGATAATCGCCGCCCACGGACATTTGCAACACCGGTTGCAGATGTGTTGCCACCTTTTCATAATGCGGGCCCCGGCTACCTCACTCAACAGACGTAACGCAGAAGTGTAACACTTTTACTTTACGCCGGTCTTCTATGAGGTCGTGGTACAAACCCTGCCCATCTGTGCAACAGCGAATACTGTTGCGTCCTACCACAGTTAACCCAGCTCGTAACTCCATAATTGTGGTTATTGCCAATCAATACCTTTGAATAATCATTCTTTCTAATGTTTTAATAAATTTCTTATAAAGCTTCATTTAAAATTTCGAGCTCTCATCAATTTCATTCAATGATACTTGTAATATATTTTAGCAATTGGAACTTGAAAAGTAGGTTTGAACAATGATGTTAGACATTTTCAAATAGCACCTTAAACAGTGAATGTATATATGTGTCCAATACTTTTATAAAGCATCTCTCGGTGTTTTCATTAACACGTATAAATGATAGTATTAATAGTGAGCGTAAGTTCTTAGAAAATTAAAAGTCATCAAATCGTTCAAAATTCAACTTCAGTTAAGTTCGAATCAATTACAAGCTTTTCCTATCAACATTTAACGTTCCACTTCTGCTCTCTAGTGTGACTTTATAGAGACTTAATTTCTAATCCCCTATAAAAAAAAAGATGGCAGTGAATGTCATTAGAAAATCTCAAACAAAATAGTAATGCTATTTATGGGTCAGTTCCATTAAAACAAGGTTGAAAGTCTTAACAAAGATAAGGTGAAACTTAACTTTTGCAAAGATTGATAACATTGTTTTACAATATTTTACATCGCCAAAATATTTTATATATCTTCCTATTCACTTATAAACATACTATACGGTATACACTTAATGTCTACATAAATACTCTTTTATTCCCGCGTAAAGCCAACGTCAAAACATTGAGGGACTAAGGAAAAGTTGTGACTCATTAGCCGGGCCAGCTTTAATCCTGCCATAGATCTCGTTTTGTAAGGCTCATCTCTTTCCTCTCTCCTAGGAACTTTACCAAATTCGAGAAATAATTTGTAAGAAAAACAAAAATTGGATACTCTGAAGCGGTAATATTGACTTAAGCCCATTGTTATAGTCTAAAGCTGCTGTTTTTTAATATTGTGTGAATATTTATTTGGAAGAGGTAAAAATGTTTGTTGAATACTATGCCGTATCTAACCTACATAAATATAGTTTAATGAGATCCGGTAAAAGTGAAAAAAATCTGTTCTAATATTCATATTAATGCAAACATTTTAAATTTTAACCATCAAATATTTACCACAAAAATACATAGTTTTATATGATGAAAGAGTGATGAAGTATGAAAATAATATTTATAATGACGCCTTGCTATAATATGCTCTGCATTTTAACTGCACTGCTGGCACAATGACTTATGTTATGTGAGGTTAGTAATGACTCCCCTCCAACCTGGTTCCCGTCTAGACGTAGGGCAAGGGCTATGAAGGCTATGTTAGGTTAGGTTAGGTTCCCCCAAGATGAAGTCAGAGGCACCCACATTATGCCGGCTTGTGGTGAGGGCCCAATACGAGTAGGCTACAAACCCTCTCTGGATACCAGCAGGGAGAGTGCGGAGGCCGCATTGGGTATGATAATAAAGTAAAATAAAGTAACAGCCTGTACATGTCCCACTGCTGGGCAAACGCCTCCTCTATACAGAGGGGTATCAGGGCATAGTCCACCACGCGGCCCCACTGCGGATTGGCGGACTTCACATATCTTCGAAATTTTTTTTTGTTATTATTTCGAAAATATGCAGGGTTTCCTCACGATGTTTTCCTTCACCGCGGAGCACTTGATAAGTCAGCACTTAAAGTTAAAAACTTCATTGTTGCCGGCACCGGGGATCGAACTCAGGTTGCTCGAGTATATTGAATTAAAGGCGAGCGCCCGGACACTGGGCTATCACGGCTCTTTTACGGTATGATAATAAATTAATCAAATCAAAGACTCAAGGAACATTGGCAAATGATCATAATCTGGATGATGAGGCACAAGTTTAATTTTCTCTACGTGGTATTTTTGTTGCCTTATAAAACAGCCTACGTTTCTCGGAATCTCCCAAAAACATGGAAACACTTTTTTCGGAAGAAACTCTTAAAATAATACAGAATATCTTGATTACATAATTATAGTCGATAGGTAATCTTTTGTGATTGTAAAATACTTAGTTAAATCTCAATAATACCCTTACGAGTTTCTTACAACAACATTGATCGTAGTATTTGTAAATTGTTTGTACATACTAATTATATGGTATTTAGCAAATCTAATGAGACAGTTTGCATAAGCCACTTACCCCTAAAGTATAGAGTTAGAGGCCATTAAAATAAGAAACAACGTTTTTACGGGTCAGTTACTGAAAGAAACATTTAAAACTATATATGTTTTTCATTCAACACAAGTGAATTTTTTCTATAAAACGTCACTCGAAAAACACGTAAACGGAGCTCTGTTACTATTCTTGCTATAAAGCATCAACAACCCATATAAGCACTCAACTTTGAGTAGTGTTCAAGTTTATCGTCAATAATAAAACGACCTCTTTTCTCTTTAAAATTTAGAGAGCAATCTAATCACATATTCGGTACACTTGATCTAGAGGTGAAAAAGAAAATTCTTAAAGTATAATGAAAGAATAATTATAATATCGCTGTGATAAATAAAGTAACCCTCACTATTTATCTACAATCAACATTCTAGCCACTACTAAAAACTACAGACAAAAAAAGTATTTTTTACGCATTCATTCAGGCAGACAACATTAAGAATCGCTGTTAACAAATTCAGGCAGACCACATCGATAAATTAAAAGCTTTTAATCACTTGATCAAAGATATCCGTAATAAATGAAAACTACAAGAATGAGCGCTTTCTTTAATCCTTTCATTTAAATCATGTGTTCCAGCAGTTGCTATTGTGAGCAAAGTCTAACTAATTAGTGATTTGAAGGATAAAAAATATACTGATAATCATTGATGTTTAATAATATAGACAATGCATGTCCATACTACGCGGCGTTTAAAGATGTTTCCGCTTTACATTATACGACAGATGATTTAGAACGTATGCCATGGAAAGAGTTAACAGTCTATAGAATTGCAATCTAATTACACGAATTGGTGTAATTTACGTGCCTCAATTTCGGTGCGCCAGTGCCATATCTTTTTATACGATATCATTGCCGGTAATAAAGGAATCAACTCAACCCGAATGTGTAAGAATCGCGGGTATAAGGATATAATACATCAGGAAAAGCTGCTGTGCATACGTAAGTAGGAGTATGGACGCGGCAGAATTCGCACGCCGTGCTATTTTGATTGGACATTCAAGTTTCCTACGCCAGTACAATTAGTATGTAATGTTTATTATTGAATTTTATTTATTGATTATTTCTTATTATAACTAGAACTATGACGTCACTAGCTCATTCCGGGTCGGATATCTTTGATCAAATACGATAGACATCAAAACGAACAGCCAAAACACAAAAAACATCGAAAGCACGGCTTGGGTCTGACTTCAGTTTTAGTTCGAGGAAGAGTTCAATACTTTCGTTGTCACGTCGCGTGGACGCGAGCGGGTTCGACCCACTCGCGCCCACGCCTCGCCCAAGGCCTACGTGTAGTGATAAAGTTATACATACATTTCGCACGTACTGATCAAAGTTCCTCACCGCTGTCCTGCCAAGCAGCAGCGCGTCCATCTCACTCTCCGGCACCGGCACGACGGCCACCGTCGGTGCCGGGCCGGCCCTCACCGGCACATTCATCGTCGCGAGCGCTCACTGACCACGGTTCACCGCACTAAACTCCACCAGGTTTCCTTTCGTCTCGTGCTTAACTAACACCAGAATCACCACCATCACTAACATTTAAATCTACTAAAAAAAATAAAGCTAATACTTAACACTTTTAACTTAAAACATTAACAGACCTACCAGTTTCACTTGTTCTTCTAAGTTTTGGTATTTCGTAAAATTTTGTTGTATAATTTTCAACTTCTTACGATAACAACTACTCTGATCGAGGGTAAAAATCTAGACAATTGGAAAAATACTTTCGTTTTGCGTATAATATGCTTCTAAAAATGTGGCTCATCTAATAAACCTAATATCTAACAATTATCACTACTATAAAAATTATTTAAATATTTTCTAATAGTTTATCAGTCGATAATTTTAAAAACATATATAAAGATTGTTTCAAATATATCTGTCAACACTGCCAAGTTCACGATTGATCACTGAGTTTGCACCAAAACTTTCCTGATTTATTTCCAGGTTTCCCCGAAATTGATATGTATTTTACAGTTCCTTTTCATTGCCATTTCGACAGATCTTTCCGCTTCATTAAAGTGCTATGGTGCAACGATAATGAAGAAATAAAGACATTTATATTTCACTGGCAAGATTTAAATTAAGATCGGGCTTGTTTCTGCCTTCGGCCTCAATAAATCCTTTCGGGGCTTATCTCGTCTTCCATCTCCGTTACGCACAATTCCGTTGTTCCCTTCTCAGTCTTCGCTCTCCCATTCCAATGCTCGCACCCGCGACGTGGCTCTTTAATATAATTCGTTATTTGTTAGACCGAAATTCACAGAACGGCTGTAGGAGGCGTGATTCGATTAAATGTAATATCGTTATTGTGGAATTGTTCTTAGCTGATGTTATTTATTTATTTATCCTTTAATGCCACCTTGATTAGGGATTACAAAGGGCGAACTTAATTCTTTCAGGAATTCTCTACCAGTCAACCTAGGGCGTGGCGATAAATTGTAATGTATGGAATCATCAAACTAATAATTAATATGAACATATGACGATATTCAAATATATTAAATTATATATATGGATTTATTAAAATATGTCTAAGGATTTTTCTTAGATAATCTTTATAATTAATTTTATGAATCAAACAGAGTACATAGCCCCAAGTTACTTCAAACAAACTGACTGAACTTTATTATTATTGCAAGTAATAATCAGCAATAATATTTTTAAACACATCTACTATAGTTAATTTACTATGTAATTAAATATATGCAAGTGTAAACACAGCGTATATTAATGATCTAATATAACTGAGATATAGATATATAATGAGTGTCGTTTGTATTCCCCAGTCTCAGGTGTGAGGGCATCCTCTGTGGGGGGGGTTTGTTGACAAAGTCCTCGCGGGTGTTGCAACACTAGTCGAGTGTCGTCTGCGTCGCGATCAAACAGGTCCCGAGAGAACAAACTTAGTAAGTGAAATTCGAGTATTTACTCAACATTTTGGCAACAAAATTACTTTCTATTTTAGTGGTTATTTTAACTTAACTCGGTCTCGATTTCAAATGAACCAAACATTCATTTGTAACGAATGATAATGTTTTTTTTTTTGTTTTGTAACAACTATAAGTTTAAAAATGTGAAATGCCGTTGGCGGACAGATGGAATGGCTTTGCTATTGAAAACCATTATAGGATTTTTGTTGTTGTTTCTATGTCATACAAACAGCTACAGTTTTTAATTATTTTCATGTAGGTTTAGTGTGTACTAAATCAAAAAGTATTGTATATATGTATATCTCATAGATTTTTTTTCTGTCGTAGTGTCCATCGTGTTGCGTAGCTTGAAAACTTTTGACATATAAGTATTAATGTACCCGTATTGTATGGAAGTGCATTGGAAAAAATACCAAAAAATATTTATAACGTGACATAAAACTCATTTCACAAATAATTTTAACGTAAAGTATAAATGTTTACAATACATACGCTTATGTACATATCTCTTTTAAAACAAATGTTTGATCTATCTTTGATGAAAATAAGACAGGTGCTTTTACTCTTGCTGCCTTAATAGCGAACTTTTATACTCGTATTTGATAAAGAATTATTGCCTGACGTTACGATAACATAAATAGCTATCGCAGGGCTGTCAACATGGCTCGTCAGAGAAAGCTTTTGAAAACAATTTTAGCCCCTACACCACGGTAACGTAATCTTTTAAAATGAGTGCGATGATATTGTGTATAAAATTGTAACATATTTGATCTTTAGATGATGAAAACGAACTTTAATAAACGAATAATGACGGACTACATACCTACTAAACGCGTCTTTATTTACATGACTGTTTTCGAAATATGACTCTTCGTTAGGATGGCATAAAAAGTATCCGATTTTCACAAATAGGCCCAAGCCCAAGACTGTTCTTCAATGTTCAATATAATTTTTGCACTTATAAATCATAATTGGTTTTATTTAATTTTTTCCGATTCGATGACCTTAAATTTAAATTCAAATTGAACGCAATAAAGTAATACAATTAAATTAATCATTAATGTGTAGTATTCGTATAAATCTAAGAACAATTTTTACATGGACAATTGATACAAAACGTAAAAAAAATTGATACACCAATGCGTTTCAACATTATCGTCATGACAAATTTATGACAACCCTAAATAAAATTGGCACAAGAATATATTGCATCAGATTCAATATTTTCCGGGATAAAAGACCTAAGTGGTGCAATTTTTACATTGTGATATTTATAATGAAAAAAAATGAAAGCAACACAATCTGATTGTTTATATTTATATCATTCATCAATGGTATTATGGAGATATTGCTAGACATTTTCTTAACTTGTTAAAATTTTAAAGTTCTATTTATTTCGTTTAGCGCACTGTCTGGGTGACTTCAACCAAATTCAGATTTTAAAATTATTTAAAAAGGGATGAAAGTAAGACGAGAGAATTGATATCGGAAATATCAGGAATTGATCGTGGTCTAGAGTAATCGACAATTAGGGCCAAATATACTGCCAAAAATATACATCAGTAGAATCTCCGTAGTATTAAAGACATTAATTTAAAGCGAATTATAGATGCGAGTCACATAAATATAAAGCACTCTTTTAGATTGAACCCTAGACTTTACCCACTATCGCAAGCACTGGTCGGCAACTGATCATTTCCATTTGCAAAAATTTTATTAACTTTACGACTTTATAATTATTTTACATTCAATGTAATACCAACTTATAGCTATAAATGCATCGCTTTTCGAATATCGAAGTCTTCGATAAGGTACTTCCTGTTTTGCAGAACAAACCTACCAGAGTGCGCATGCAAATCCAATTTACGGAACCAATTTGTCTCCCTTCTGAACCACACATCTCCAATCTTACCATATTTATGTTTAATATAATGAATTATAAATCCGTTCCTCGCAAATTGGTCGAATTAAGTGTACTTGTTCGAACTCAGTGCTTACGAAAACTTATTCATGTCAACTTAACAGCCGGTACTGCATTCAATAAATATACGAAAAATAATTTCACATTTTAGCTTTCACATATGAAATTTATATTGATCTGCTCGGTGATAGTTATATTAAGGAGAATTACGTAATTATTGACGGTAATTTTAGTCATTATTAGTTAATGCCATTAATAGCTTGCAATTCGAGATGGGACTTATAACCAAATAGATTGCAGCAAACTGTTAACGTTTCGAAATTATATATGTGAAAATGTTTCCTGTCATATTGATTAAAATTATTAAGAAAATTAAATAATAATTTGATAAAATAAGTGAATTATCATAGAGATTATGTAGATAATTGCCTGATCCTACGGCGTTGTCAGTTCTAAAGTAACTTTAATATTTATATTTAATAACATATTAATTAAAAGGCAAACCATAAACAAAAAATAACGAGACATGTTATGATCACATCATATGACTTACATCCTCTAAACAATCCATTAAATAGTTTCGACAACAAAGTCAATAAAGTTTATTATAATTATGAGTGAAGGTGAAAGTGCATTCATAACAGAGACATCCCAAAATAATGTAGCCGTCTGCTACAAAAGCAGATTTCTCTGCTATCGTAACTGAAAGCCGCTTCTAGCCAGCCCGCTGCAATAGTAGGTCAATTGTGAGATAAACTGGAATATATTTTACTACGTTAATTCACCGCTCGGCGCACTAATCTCTGTGTTCATGCCGTCAGTTGTTCGCTCGCAAAAGCTCGTTATTACGGATTTGTGTTGATGTCGGTCACATTGGCGCTCATCTGTATTCAAAGTGAACTAATCCAGAAATGATTTTTGCTTTCAAACATAACGAATACCTATTCAAACTAACTTCAAATCGAATATATAAAAATTATACTTTCGGTAGTAACTTAAAATACTCGTAATCAACAAAATCCATCAAACTTAAAAACAATGACGCTTCAATATGTCCTAAGGACACTTTTCGCGTTTACACGTGATCGTCTTCGGATACACTTACAGCCGAAACAATTCCACAATAGCGTAAGCATGAACTAAATCGGCTAAGCCAGGGCTGTGGGTGATCGCTGAAAGTGAAACGCTTGCACTTTGCGTCCGGTGCACTCGCTACGGAACGTTTGGTACGCGCAAAAGTGTTCGGGAAGCTGGGAGCGTGATACGCGCGTGTCGCCGCCCGCCGCGTGGGGGACTGACGCGAGAGGCGAGACGCCACGCCGCCCGCCCCAGCCACGCCGCACCTGCCGCCCTACCGCCAATATTTGTTATCGTTATCGGATGTTTCTCAGTAGTATACACGACGTGAAGTGGTCGGTGTGACAAACACTCGCACGAGAATTATAAAGGGCTTTTCGTTCGCTTCAACAAGCTCGGGAAAATGATTAGACTAACACTCTTCTCGAAGGTGTGTGAGTGTTAGTCTCTTACTACTACTAATGTAGTATCGAGTTTAGTACTACCATCTGAATGTGAGTTTTTACTTTCTTATCTTGTTTTGTATGAGAAGGTGGCAAACGATACCACCCGTTAACCACCAGTCATGTTGACACAGTGCCCATGGACATTCGCTAAAACCGTAGACTTACAGATATGCTTTGGTAAAGTTACCTCACACGCCAGAGGAAAGCCAAAGTACAAACACTTCCACTTCACGCTGGTCTTCTGTGAGGATGTGGCATTTCCCCGGATGAGTCTGCCCATTCGTGCAACAATAGAAGCTGCTGCGTAGTCCCACCACAGTAAAACTCCAGCCTATTATCGATATTATATCGCTAAACGTAATTAAAAACTAGACGTCTGCTACGCACGACGTTTGTTCGCTGACTGATGTTTTTTTTTTTTAAATGTGAGAAGGTGTCAAACGAATCGACGGTTCACCTGATGTCAAGTGATAACCGACGCCCCTTGACATTTGCAACACCCTTTTAATAAAGTGTATATAAAATTATTTTAATGTGCGAGAGTTTACCGACAGCGAAGCGTGTGCCTATGACTTTGCCCGTAAAGCCGATATTACTAATGTATGAACATTCGCCTTATCGTGATGGCCTAGGCCTTACTGATTACGACATAAGATTAAAAATATAATGTCGCCGGTGAAATCGACTTTGGCACTATTTATTAACCCGAATCAACAAAGTTATCACTCATGCGTGCCCTTCCTATTTTATATAATTCTAAAAATGAAGTTCGTTCCGAACCCAAACATATCTTGACCGTGAATAATGCGTCGAACAAACTGCGGTCAGCGAGCCCAGCGGAAAGCGGTCGCATTAGCTTGCTCGTAAAATCTCGTTCTGTAATAAGAGTATATATCGCTTTAGTACTAAGGCGTGCTCACAGGTGTGTTTGTAGTTGAATAAATCGTAATGCGTGAGTTAGTCTGGAAACCGGGTTACTCTTTTTATTTTATCTCGATTAATATTACTTTGCGGAAATTGGTGTTGGTTACATGTATGTATTATGCTAACAGAATTTCAAATTATTTTACTAAATAACTTGAAATTCTGTTCTATGTTCATAACTATTTTATATGTTATGGTTAATGTATAACTATTTTATGTCCCAAAATATTTCAAAAAAATCTAGCTTTGTTTCAAATTTTCCTTCAGGCTGTGAAAATAATGTTCTTAAGCTTAATTAACCGTATGAATAAAATTCTGTGACCTAACCTGAGTGGAAAGCGGGGTACGTAAAAATATATGAGAAACATGTACAAAAAAGCATAAAACAAAACAAAAAATTGTTAGTAATGAAAAGATGAAATTATGAGATAGAAAGCGCCAACTAGTAAATTTTTAGGGTTCTGTGCCCAAAGGGTAAAACAGGACCCCATTACTAAGACTCAATTACTAAACTACACTAATTTCTCGGCGTAAAATGATGTGAGCTAAATGCGAAGACATCATCCGATTAACACAAAGAGGGCGCACAACTATCGATTCAGTTTATCCGCGTGTTTAGTTTTATTCAGCCTACCCACGTCAGAAACAAACTCTTTTGTACATTTACACTAAATAAATATTTGCGAGGTTTATTTTCACGCGATTCTGTTTACTTTCGGTTCTATAAATTGTTTTAGCACGCTGGCTTTCGATGAGCAAAAATAATTCTACTCTTCTTGCTTATTTTTAATGCAATAATACATGTTTGCAACAAAACCGAAAATGATTAAAATCAAAGACCAACCGACAGGATAGAATAGTCTCGGAATAATCATATTTTTTTTATGTGAAAAAGTGGCAAACGAGTTGGTGGTTCACGTATTGTTAAATGATAACCATCGCCCATGGACATTTGCATCACTCGTAGGGCTGCAAATGCGTTGCCTCCTTTAAATAAAGTAGGCCCCGGCTACCTCACTCACCAGACGAAACGCAGCAGTAGAACACTTTTACTACTTTGCGCCGGTCTTCTGTGAGGTAGTGGTATTTACCCGGACGGACCTGCCCATTCGTGCAATATGGAGCACTGTTGCGTAGCCCTACCACAGTGTGAAAATATTACAATATTTTTTTTCTAAATACAGTAATATAAGGTATAACATGAAAGTGATACTGTGTTATACGTTTGGGAGAATCATTATTAATAATTCTCACAAACCAAACAGATTTGCGCCAAACAGAATTCTCACAAAAGTGGTGAATCACAAACGACGTATAGTCTATCTTCAATTTTAAGTGTTGGTTCAAGTTGCGATCTTTTAAACCTTGTTTTTTTAACACTTCGTGCAATTGGTGCTAAGCCGTGATGAAACATCGAAAATTCCCAACAGTTTAGGATCTTCGAGTTTAAGAAATATTTCCTAAAACTGTGTAGTATTTTTAGGAACGATTTTACTTCCAATTTTATTTCGATTTTGAAAATTTTCTTCCAGTATGCACGTGATTATAACGCATACTAATTGTCACCAAATCAATCGAATCTACATTAAAAAACACGTTCATGTTATTTTTAAGTAATTTAAAATAAACTACTGTTCTAATCAAATTATTCGGAAACTCATAACCTTTGAAAAACCAGCCAGGTCTTTTTTAATGTGAAAAGTTGACAAGCGAGCAGACGGTTCACCTGATGTTAAGTGAATACCGCCGCCCATAGACATCGGCTACAACCGAGGGTTGCAGATGCGTTGACAACCTTTTGACAATTGCAAGTGCGAGTCGAACTCTCGCATAAAGGGTTTCGTATCATTGTCTATAAAGAGCGAGTCCCATTGATATATTTTTTTTTATTATCTTTTGTTACAGGGGCAACAGAAATACATCATCTGTGAAAATTCCAACTGTCTAACTATCACGGTTCACGAGATACAGCCTTATGAGGGACGGACAGACAGCGGAGTCTACACACTAGTAATGGGGTACCGTTTTACCCTTTGGGTACGGAACCGGTACGGAACCCTAAAAACAAGCGGAAAGGTCCCGTAGATATTTGCGAGAAAACATTCCAGTAGTTTACATAAAGCGCCCGGAAGGCACTTGTGTCGGTGGATCTTTGTAAACAAGCACTTCTGTTACAACCCTATGAATAAGCAGTGCGGTAAAAAAATCACTGAACTGTTTTCTTTTTATTAAAAACTTAAATTTGCCCAGCGCTCGACTACAGTCCCAACTCTAAGTGGTGACTCTGTAAGAGCTTGTCAACTCTTACCATGAACTAATTATTTGGCGCCCAAACTAAAGCCTGGAATTAAAATTGTAGCTCACGAGCTAGCCAACAGATGAGAATTTAACCGTATTATATTAAAACGAATTTACGGCCAGTTCCAGATTAACGGACCTCCCTAACTACAGTTGAGTAAGCTGTATGATACGTATATAACTTCCCAATCAACGCCACCGAAATGTCATGTCGTAAAACGTCACGAGTTCCGAAATTATAAGGGTCTATTCACACTGAGACCTTCATATTGAAATAAAAATACTATCGAGGAATACTCAACTAATGTTTACGTAGTAGAAAATTCAACACAAGTTTCTTAAGCACTTAAAATTTAAAGATAATAAGAATAAAAAGGCGCAAAACTATGAAGACTCGTGTGCCCATTACAAAATAATGAGTCTGAAGGATCGACGCATATTACTGGATATGACTTTTCTGCATGGTACATGTCATGGAAAAATTGATTGTGGACCGTTAGCTGATAGGATCCTCTGTTTTTGTACTCCAAAATACAGAACGAGACATACACCTTTATTCGCTGTGCCTAAATCATCAACAAGGCATGCACAAAATTCGTACATATGACAACACGCTCAGTTGATATTTTCCACACACAAAAGGGATATACTGCAAATTTTAACACACACACACACACACAAAACACACACACACACACACACACACACACACACACACACACACGCGCTCGCACACACACACACACACACACACACACACACACACACACACACACACACACACACACACACACACACACACACACACACACACACACACACACACACACACACACACACACTCACACGCGCTCACACACACACACACACACACACACACACACACACACACACACCTGCTCAATTATTATTGTATATATATTCTACCTATAAAATGTAAATCCTTTCTTGGCTGTAAGTTAAGAATATCTGATATAAATGTAAACAACTAAAGGCTGTGGATTTTGTTGCTCAATAAAATAAAAAATAAAATAAAATACCTTTAAGAACACTGACAATCACGGCTCACATCATGTTTACATAATAATTAAAATTGAACATCTACATAATGGTGTTCCGGTACATCGATTTTTTTTGTGATTGGTGTTTGCACTCTCATTTACGAATAGCGCGGGATTTCTATAGCTTGCAAACGTAATCTTGTTCGATTTTAAAACTCCAGACGCGTTCGCAGCCATTATATGGATGAAAAGCTTAAGCGTGTGGCGCATGTGGCACATGGAGAGATTTAGTTGCGAAGAGTCGAGCTTTCGGGTAATCAGCGCTCTAAGGTCAATACCGCTTCGCTGAAGCCGCTTTTGTAGGTTACATCTTTTGTGGAAGCTTTTATCAGACTATATTATGGAAATGTCCTCGGCGATATTAAATTTATATCAATTTCATTGCGAATGAACCAAATTCTAATACGATTTTATTCCATTTCCGTTCTTCCACTAACGCAATTTTCAACTCGTATAAGGCATGTGGAAAGAGTCGTGTGACATATCTCCCAAGGTCCTCCTATACAGTTCTATGTGATTTAAGTCTGGATCTGAACACTCCATGCTCTGAGATTTTTGGGGAATGTTTATCTATTTCCATCTGAAATATATACGGTGGTAGGGCCACGTGGCAGCCTCGGCTGTTGCACGAATGGGCAGGTTCGTTCGGGTAAGTATCACGACCTCACAGAAGACCGGTGTCAAGTGCAAGTATAATACGTGTGTCCTTCAATTTTTTTTCACAAATCGCTTATCGGTTGTCTTCCTCGCGTCGACTGTTCCACGTAAGGCTATCACAATTTACGTCTCCGTCCTGACAAGTGCATCGTTAACTTTTAACGATTGCGTAAAAGTTAATTACACTCTTAAACATCCATGCGAGATCCTTGTAAGCTTCTATAGGTAAGTGCAGATATTAAGCAATTATTCTTATCCTTTAAACGAGCAATTCTTATATATATATATATAATCGGAATCTCGGAAACGGCTCCAGCGATTTTCATGAAATTTAGTATGTGCGTAGATTTGGGGGCGATAAATCGATCTAGCTAGGTTTCATTTTTAGAAAATGTCCTTTTATCCCTGTTTTCAGGGAATGAAAAATATGATTCGAATAAGATGGTAAATATCACCAAAAAAAAAAATTTTATAATAGCTCGGTCTCTAATCGGGCGGCCCCGAAACAGAAGGCCGTGGTTCATGTCACGATCATTTACACATTCATTTTT